ACCGTGACCAGGGTTCCGAGGCGAGAGGAAAGAACCGAAAGCTTTTCCGTCCTCAACGTGGCGGAAATTTTAATTGCGACTCCGTCAACACAAGCCTTGGATCAGACACACCAGGACAATGATGAGTTTATTATGAGTCTTATCGCTTCTTCAGCTCAGTACGTGCACACCGGTGCAGTAAAGCTGCCTTCTTAGCTGTAATTAATTCGTTAACATTACATATTAATGCACGTGCACACAGACTGTGTGCACAACAGGCAGAACATCCTCGAGCTATGTGATTGTGAAACATGCTGTGTGGCTCTTGTTTATGCTTCTGAATAATTATAGAGCTCTCCGACATTTTGACCTGCTGGAAAACGTTTTTCTCTTAAACATTTCACTAATACTCATTTATAAATCAAAGGCCCAGCATTCCTTGAAGCACTGCACAACGTCCAGCGAAACAATGAAAATCTCAGACTAATCGCTGGATAAACATCAACAAGTGGTGAACTTTTGGAGTCAAGATGGGTAACTGGATTTCACGGACATTGAGATAAATTTAACGGGTTAGTAGCTGAGACTATTTTTAAAACTTGCTCTGAACACTAATAAAACACGAGATCTTTGTTGAGGGCGGCACGGTGGCTCACTGGTAGAGCTGTTGCCTCTCAGTGAGAAGGTTGTCAGATCAAATCCCGGCCCAGGGCCTTTCTAAGGGGAGTTTGCATGTTCTCTCTGTGCATGTGTGAGTTTTCTCCAGTTTCCTCCCACAGACCAAAAACATGCATGTTAGTCTGATAGGTAACTAAATGGTCCCTATAGGTGACAGTGAGAGAGGGAACGTTTGTTTGTCTCTATGTGTCCCTGTGATGGACTGGAGACTTGTCCAGGGTGTCCCCCGCCTCTTGCACAGTGATGGATGGACTATGCCTGTCACGATAACAAATTTTACTGGGCGATTAAGTGCTTTAGAAATGATTGCGCTAAACGATAATATTGGTTGAAATTTGACAATAATTAGTAATTATTGTCAAATTTAAGAAGAAATGATTATATGTTTTGTGTGTAGTACCTATTTTCGACCACCGGATGCAGTAAAAGACTATTTGAACCGAAAGATGGATAATGAGGGAGCAAGCAGCGTGCGTCTAAGAAAAATGGGAGGGAGGCCCCTTGACTTGACATGGGCTGTCTCTCTTCGGTTCTCAAAATGGTGGATGCTTGGTGTGGTTTGAGCTCTTTAGCATAGCATTTGTCACACAAACTTTTAATAAAAAAAATCAGTAAACAAGTTCTCAGCTTCTTTTTGCAGAGAAAAACAACTTTTTACACGAAGGCACGGGTTTCAATCGTGAATTTTGGGGCTTCGACAAGACGGAGGTTTTTTCCCCGAGGTCGGCCTGCTAGCTTAGCTCGTAGCTTAGCTTCTCAGCTCAGCTGCTTAACGATCCAAAAATGTGATTTTGGATGGTTAAAATGGATTTTAAAGAGAAAGGGAGGGGTCAGTGAAGAGCACCGGAGTTGAGCCTTTTGTCATCCAGTGTCTTCAGTAGAAAGAGACACGAAGAAACGATACAGCCAATAAATGAAACTCATTTTCATTTATCATGCGATTAATTGATTTATTTCTTATTGCGACAGGCCTAGGTTGGACATGGGCGCCAGTGACCCCTCTGGCCTGAAACGTATGAAGCGGGCAAAGATAATGGATGGAAGATCTTTGTTTAAAACTTTATCACTAAAGGCGGCGGGTGATATGCATTCCTTCCTGGACAGAAAGTTTCATTACAATTTGTATTTATTCAAAATGTTAGTTTCTTTTTTCTTATAAATTAAATAATTATTGTTATGCAGACAAGGTCTACTATTAACTAAATATTACAACTGCCTGTTTGACTGAAGTGCAGATGAAAGAAAAATAAACTAATAATTTACTCAAATACTCTTTATAAAGTAAATACTTCGGGAAAAAAAAGCTTTTAGTCATCCATAATTTCTTTAACTTTTTCATCCAAGGAGATTTTAATGTAATCTTTCAAAAATGTAGTTTTTAAAACTTATTTTCTTTGAACCTTGGCAGCCTCTTCACTTGATTTATGTTCAGTTTTTAACAGTTTCATATATAATTGTTAGATCAATTGACTAATTTAGGCATGAAGCGCTCCTAAACTGAAGGGATGAGCAGAGATGTGTTAAAACATGACCAACAACTGGGGAAAAAACTATTTTAAATAGGATCTTTAGGTGTTTTTAACCAGCATGCTCTAACAAAACACAAAATGTTCCCACTTCTTTATTTTAATTAATGAAATATGCTAAAAGTAACACAGTTGGACTCGTACAATAGTACTTCTGCACCAACAAGATGCAAAGTGTAAACTGAAACATTACTATAGATGATCAGCTGAAGGATTAAACATCTCTCTCCATTTCTTCATTTATTTTCTGTTGTGAAAATATATATTCCTTTACAGATGTTTTTTTTCTGAAGAAGAAGAAGAAGAAGAAGCCTTAATATAAAAGTAAGGATAATGTAAAAAAGAGGTGTGGTTTAAAACTTTTGCTCCAATACTATAAATCTGACGTCACAGCAATAATTGAGGCCCAGTTTTACTTTATAAACGACTAAATTCAACTTAAGAATGACAAGAAAGTTACCATAATTTATCCATCAACCAGTTTCAGCGTGATGGGGACCTGCGCTGATAGAAGAAGTTAATCACAACCCAGAAACAAATGTTTAGGATCTTCTACGACGAGGAATTCCTCAGCAGAAAGAGAACGAGAAAGGGAAGACTCGGGAGGTCCCTGGAGACACAGGCCTGTGGAAATTGGGGTCAGCAGATATAGGAGGAGCCCACCTTCCTGCTCCTGCACCCCCTCCATCAGCTCCTGTTCACTGAAGCCCATTTTGCACATGAAAACTGTAAAAACGTGACACGGTCGTTCACACGGCAACGCTGTAATCACAATTGTTTAGACAAGGAGGGGAGCGTTGGAGTAAACGAGATTGCAAGCTTGTGATCAGGAGAAGTTGGAGTCCACAGACCGGCACAAAGAATTTGTGTGGGAAAGGAGAAGCCCCCACATCTGCTTCCATCCATATTTGCCTATGTGCCCTTGAGCAAGACCCTTAACCGTCCAGCTGCTCCCTGGGTGCCCTCTGCTCCACGTGTGCGATGGAATAATGCAGAAAATGAATTTCCCCTTTGGGGCTTGAGTACAATAAATAAATAAAAGACATTAAACTCTGTTTTTCCTCACAGCTGCCACACGCATACACAGACACCTTAGTCTTGAGTGACTGGGCTGCTGCTACTCATGACTTTAAGTTATAAATCTAGAAAGATGCGGGGAATTCTAGACTTGACTGCAACCGTAGTTCACAGGTGCTACTGCCCCTTTCAGGTTAATGTGTTTTCCCATGAAATTATACTACTGTATTTTTCGGACTATAAGGCGCACTTAAAATCCTTTAATTTTCTCAGAAACTAACAGTGAGTCTTATCATCCGGTGCGCCTCACGTGTTGATTCTGGTTGTGACCTCGAACCGATTTTATGTGGTACACAACAAATGTTTTAGTTTCACTTAATGCGCCATATGTATGAAAACAGACCCGTTCATTGACGTTGCACCTTATAATCCGAAAAATACGGTAAGAGGTTTGAAAACGTCCACTCTGAGACCTGGACCTAAAACGTTTCAGCATCAGAGAATCTGTTTAAATAGACAAACAATCAAAACGAGGACTGTTCTGATTTTACTTAAAAACAGCATCGAATAAACTGTGCGACACCTTTTACAGTACGACTATACCACCACGCAGCCTTTGTACACAACATGTCCCCCCTGTCCTCCTGTCTCCCTCTGTGTCCTTCTGTCTCCAGCAAGGCTGCTGACACATAAACCCCAGCAGGTGCGGGACGCGATGGGGAGACCCGGTCTCTAATTGGTCCTCAGTGGAGTCACAGCTGTTGCCCCCAATCACAGCCCGGTAGGAGCTCCAGCTCTGGCCCCTCGATCGACAGCCCACTATTGTTGTCCAGAGAGACTAAGCTGAGCTCTGATCTATCACACTAACCACACCAGTAGCTGCTCCCCAGTATCATATCATCAGCAAACAGAAAACTCCATCAACACCATCAGACACAGAGCTCTACACATCCACAACCCTCATGGAGCTCCTTTAGGTTCCTGCTAGTTGTGTCTCATTTCATTTTTTTTTTTTTCTCTACACTTCATAAAATTTGATTTCTCTCTCAAACTGTGTCAAGGTCAAAACGAGGACAGATTTACAGCAAATTCCACTAATGCCAATTCAAATCAAAACACATGCACGCAAGCATTATGTGGGTGCAACTCGAGTTCAGTCCTAATTTATGAGCCAATAAAGCACATTTGTGTTAAAATACAAATATAAAGAGTAAAGTCAAGCAAGTCACCATTTTAAGGCATTACAAAATAAAATCATGTTCGATTTTAGCTAAAGAACAAGACACCTGTCAAACAAAATGAGCCTTAATGAACATTCTCGCTCTGAAAAAGCAATAAAAGTTTGATCATAATTGAATTAGGTCTGTCAATGTGTGTGGGAGTGAGGGTATATAAGCAGTTATGGGCCGTGATCAGTCTGCCCACTGGAGTGAGGCTCCCACAGGAAGTAGACGCTCAGACAATCAGCTGTTCGAATTCAGACTGAATCAGGCTCGTGTAAAAACAGTCACTGATGAACGGCAGATTACATCATCACAAAGAACAGCCTAAACCATTGCAATATTTTACAGCATTTCTTCTGTTGTGATGAGCTTTACAATTCGTCTGCAATGAATATTAATACTCCCTCATGAATTATTCAATCATAGATCAATTTTGCTCAGATTGTCATTATTCTGTGAAGTGAAGTGAAAATAAGTGGAAAGATGGAGCATACTAATGAAAGCGGATACACCTCACCAAGCCTGCTCTCTTATTACCACTCACTGGGTGGAGTCCGTAATTATCTAGCGGTCTCACCTGACACCGAGATCCTCATGGAGGCCTCCAGGGGCCGGTTGTTATCCAGGGCCTGGCTGAGCTGGATCTCCCCCGTGCTTTGGTTCAGGAGGACGAGGTTGAGCTCATTTCCCACCTCGAATCTGTAGTGGAGCTGATCTGAAACGTCCGGGTCATAGGCCGGGATGCGTCCGATCACTCCGGTGGGGAAGCTGCTCGATTCATCCGTCACATAGTTGTTGAAGATGATCTGGAAGTTTTTAAGCACCGGCACATTGTCGTTCTTGTCGACGAGTTTGATGTGAATGGTGGCTCGGCTCACCAGAGGGGCAGAGGTGGCCTGGACGACGATGACGTACTCAGACTTCAGCTCATAATCCAGATCTATTAACGCTGTCAGTTCTCCAGAGAAAATATCCAACTGGAAGACCTCTGGGATGTTTCCCTCCACTATCTGGTACATAATCTGAGCATTGCTGCCTTCGTCTGGGTCTGTAGCTGATATGTGGGCAACCACAAGGCCTATGGGGCTGTTCTCTTCTACCATGATGTCAAACTCATCTTTTTCAAACACAGGAGGGTTGTCGTTCACATCCATGATCGTTACGTGAATGTTTACTGGCGTTTTCAGAGCAGGAACACCTTTATCCACAGCGAAAGCCTGCAGGCTGTAAACAGGCACGTTTTCTCTGTCTAATCTGCGCAGCGTGCGCACAATCCCAGAGGTGGATTCTATTATGAAGTCCCCATCTCCGTCCTCCCCGCCTTGGAAAGTGTAGAAAACACGACCATTGAGGCCAGAGTCTCTGTCGATGGCAGAAACCTGTACCACGCTGGTGAACACTGGCACGTCTTCCATCACAGAGCCCACATAGTGGTCTCTGAGGAACCGGGGTGAGTTGTCGTTGACGTCGTTCACGAGTATCTCCAGGTAGGTTGTGTCAGACTTCTGTGGGATGCCGTTGTCTCGAGCTGTGATGGCTAATGTGTAAGAAACCTGGTCCTCGTAGTCCAGCTCTATCTGTGTGGTGACAGCTCCCGTATCGGGGTCAATGTCAAACTGAGGGATACTGTCATCCATGTAGTAGGTAATGCGTGCATTCTCGCCTGTATCCTCATCAGTGGCGCTTATTACAACCACGGTGGTGCCCGCAGGTCTGTCCTCGTTGATGTTGACTGTGTAATGGGAGCTCTGAAACACAGGTCGGTGCGTGTTGGCGTCTGTGACGTTCACGAACACCTTAGCAGTGTCAAACCGAGTGCCGTCGCTGGCAGTGACCGTGAGGATGTATTGGCGTTCTAGTTTGTAATCCAACGGCAGTGCCAGTGTTATGAGCCCGCCTCCGCTCTGACTCGTTATGGAGAACCTGTTTCGAGTATTTCCACTGGATATCTGATAAGTCACCACACTGTTAATGTCCTGGTCCACAGCTGACACTGTCACCACACTAGTCCCCACAGCCGCGTCCTCATTCAGACGCATGTGATATGCCTTCTGAGTGAACTCTGGGTTGTTGTCGTTGACGTCTAGAATGGTCATGCTGATGCTGGCTGAGGAGGACATTACAGGGTAGCCATGATCGCGGGCCTCCACTCCAAAGTTGTAAAAATCTACGCTCTCTCTGTCCAGCTCATCTGCCACTACAATCCACCCAGTACTGTTATTGATGGCGAAGGGAAAGCTTGGCATTGTTTCAATAAGGAGGTACTCCAGCCTGGAGTTTTCTCCCGAGTCTGCATCTACAGCTTGAATGTGGATGATGGAGTAACCCAGAGGAACATTTTCTAGCACGGTGGCCTGGAAAGGAGTACTGACGAAAATAGGAGCATTATCATTGACGTCCAGCACCTGCACCGTAACCAGGCCGCTGATGTTGGACAATGGGGGCCGTCCACCGTCCTGAGCTCTAATCCTTAAGGTGTATTCTTTGTTGGCTTCGTAATCCAAGTGACTCACCAGGTCCAGTTTACCCGTCTGTGCATCAATGTAAAACTGTCCTCTGGTGTTTCCGCTCATGATGCTGAAGTGGACCATAGCGTTGCTCCCTCTGTCCTGATCTGTGGCAGTGACCTGCAGGATCTCAGTGTTGGGGGTCATGTCTTCAGGCACCTGGACAATGTAGCGTTTCTCACTGAACTGAGGAGCATTGTCATTGTCATCTTCTACCACAATGTGAACAGTGGCCGTGGCGCTGCGGGGCTCGGGGTCTCGACCCTGATCGTTTGCCTCAACTAGCAGCACATAGGCCTCCACCTCCTCCCTGTCTACCAGACCTTTCGTGCGGATCACACCAGACCTGGAATCTATCTCAAAAACATCATTGGACCCGTTACTATTGAGGATGTGGTAGAGGATGTTACCATTAACAGGTGCATCTCCATCTGTGGCCCTCACAGTCAACACCTCATAGCCAATTTCTAAATTCTCCCTGATGTTTTCCTTGTAGTCCTGCTGCTCAAACACGGGATCGTGATCGTTGGTGTCGCTGACTGTGACAGTGAGGGTGGCCATGGCCGTACGCCGGGGAACGCCGTGGTCAACGGCTGTTACACGGAACACGTGGGTGTCTTTAGTTTCTCGGTCCAGCACCTCCACCGTCGACACGATGCCACTGACAGGATCCACAGCAAAAAGATTGTTTGAGCGGCTGTCAAAAAGAGCCTCTATGAAATACTCCAACCTGCCCGCCTCCCCCTCATCCACATCCATAGCTTTGAGAACGACAACTGAGGTCCCAGCTGGCTTATTCTCTGACACTGACACTTGATACATCGGGGGCTGAAACTGGGGGCTGCTGTTGATGCTTCTCCTCCTCCTGCTCACAATACCTGAATCAAATCGAGCTTCCTTCTTTAAGAGTTTCTGTAAGTGGCCCTGCCTGAATGGCCCCTGTCCCACGCGCCAGTGGATGGAGATGGTGTTCACATCGAGTCCATTTCCTGTGAGCACATCACAGAACATGTCCAGCTCAAACAGGGTGTCCTGCCTCCAGCACAGCGTCTCAGACACAAACAAGCCCCCTCGTGAGAAGTAAAACTCGCGGCTGTTGGCCACCTTGCAGCGAAGCGGGGGGCCAGGCAACAGCCCCCCCACTGGAAATAAAGCAGACTCTGCTCGGTGGCACTCTGAGGAGCTGTGGTGCCCGAGCAAACTGAGGACCTCCATGTCCCACTGAGGTTTCCTTTTACGCGCGTGTGAACAGTTCCTACCGTGAACATGCACGTCGTACTGACTGATGAGGAGGTGCCTGTGGCCGGAGTCCGCGCAGTCCGCCACAGTGAGCAGCGTGAACGGGTTCGACTGCAGTAGGGCGCACTTTATGGAGTCCGACACGAACACGACGCCCGCCGCCGCGTGCGGCTCCAGAAACCGCTGCGCGAACGCAGGAGCGAGCACCTGATCCAAGGCGCACCGCGCGCCGCGCTCCTCTCCGGCCACCACCGTCCCCCGAGCAGCATCCTCGCCGATGTGCACGGTGTAACTGTGCGCCAGCGAAAGCAACTTGAACCAGCAGACGAGCAGCCGTGAGTCCAGCCTGGTGACGCGCATCGCGCCTCGGGTCGGGTTCGGGAAGTGCGAAATTGTGCGCGGCTCCTTATTTCTTCCAACTTTCCGCCTGCGAGTTTGGCCCTTTGTGCAGCAGAGCCATGCTCTGTCCGGCTCACAGGAGGGAGGGGGTCCCGCAGTCACCTCACATGGACGGACACTCTCACAGACCGCGGCGGTGCACGTCCGCTCCGTGCGCGCAACTTGGCTGAATGATTTGAGAAAAATGGCTCCTGCTCCCTCCTGCGCCTCGAGACTTCTCATTAACATAAAGTCTATGTGTGTGCGCGCGCGTGCGGAGAAACAGTTGAGAACTTGACACAAGCTCCGTTAGTAGATAAATGATCATTTCCTCAAAAGCTTCTTTAACACAAAACAGCAGCAGGACTTCAGACTCGGATTAATGAGTTCACTCCTCAACACCGTATTCAGTTGTTTTATTGTTTTATTTGTTCACCATAAATAAATAAATAAATAAATAAATAAATAAATAAATAAATAAATTAAAAAAAAATTGTGTGCGCGCCAGAGAAAAGCGCAACTTTTACAAGACCTTCAATGAATGCATATCGCCCACGACCTTCAGGGCCAAGACGTTTGGAACTAAAATCAGTTCATGACTCTCACCTACATCAATATTTGTGACTTATCGCTTCTGTGTTGGAAAAGTTGGATTATCTGTGGCAGCCGTCTTCAAGTTAATTCACTCCAAAAGTTCATGAGTTATAAATTATTTCCATTCAATGATTACTTTGAGAGCTTCAGTAAAACCCATCCAGTGGTTCATGAGAGATTTTGCTAACAGACAAACAGGGTGGAATTCACAAAATTTCAAATCAAAGATCCCGTGCTGAGGAGTGAAGTGCTCAGAGAAGTTGAGGATGACTGTCAGTTATATAACAGTGTGTGTGTGTGTGTGTGTGTGTGTGTGTGTGTGTGTGTGTGTGTGTGTGTGTGTGTGTGTGTGTGTGTGTGTGTGTTGTGTTTGACTGTACACACACCAACACACAAAATACATTATTGCTCACCTGCTTTCAAAATCCTTAGTGAATGTTTGACATAATTTTAAAGTCCAAAAACAAATATTTGCTGTAAATTTGCTCCAAATACCATAAATATCGTGGACTTGGAGGAGGACTCGTGAAGTCCTAAAGATCTGCTTCCTAAACCAGAAACCCTGATGCAAATATCCAGTCTCTGTTGAAAGCTATGATGCTGCGTTCAGGTGCAGAGACACGTGGCCCCTCAGAGAAGCTACAAAAGCACAGACTGCAGGTGTACAGAGGGCACGTTACCACTCCTCCAACGATCCACGGGACATCACATGCACCACAGTCACAACGTACCAGAGACCCCACTCTGCCAGACGCTCTCAACAGGTAGGACTTCAACACCTCCCTCAGCACCAAACTCACCTCACCAGGTGAAAAGCCCCCCCAGTGAAAGTTGAGCAAAAGAGAGGATGACCCTCCAGAAAATTAACCTTCACAAAGCTGCTGGCCCTGATAAAAGTTCTGGGTCGGGTGCTGCTCGTCTCTCTGAGGTGCTGGCAGACATAATCAAGAACACCACAGTGGATCCACACCAGTTTGCATCCTGGAAGAATTGTTGCACAGAACAAGCCGTCTCCTCTTTGATACAGCCCTCACTATCTGGAGAACGAGGACTCGCGTGTCCGCCTGTTGTTTATGGACTTTGCATCTGCCTTCAACACCACGACACCACAGGCCCTGGACTACAAACTGTCAACACAACGATTGTGTTACTCCTTTTACAACGGAGTCCAGGACTTCCTGACAAACAGACCAGACAGTGAGGATGAATAATGTCTCTTCCTCCCCATCACCCTTAGCACTGGATCCCCTCAGGGCTGTGTGCTGAGCCTCCTTCTGTTCACCTTGCCATGCTCGGCAAAACCTTTAGTCTGTCATGTTGGAAAGATTGCAGATGACTCAGCTGTGGTGAGATGCATCACCAACATTACTGAATCTGGCTACAGACAGGAAGTGGAACATCTGGAGGTTTAGTACAAGGAAAGTAACCTTTGCATCAACGTCAAGAAGACCAAGAATATGATAATGGACTTCAGGGCAGACACCAACACACATCGATTCCCCTGCACATCTGAGGAATAGCAGTGAGAGTGGTGTCCAGTTTTAGGGACTCGGACATACAAGTGACGACCTGACCTGAGTAGGTCAACACTTCCAGCCTGTTGAAAAGACACACCAGCAACTACTTCCTCTGACAGCTGAGCGCTGGCTGAGTGACTCGTTAAACTTATGTTTTCTCGCCCATGATTTATTTTTTCTGTAAAGTAAAAAAAAAAGTGAGGTTCCCACTTCCATTTTTGGTGAGTGGCTGCATCTAGGTGTAAGAAAGCTCACCATAAAAAAATTAGGTTGCCATGTCACAATCCAAGACGGCCACATTTGAGGAAACTGTTTTCCATTTTTTTTTATATTGCTCAAAACTATAGGGTGACTGAACATTTATATGTGGTGGCTAAGACCGCCATTGGTCACCCCCTGGTTCCGACATTACACCTGGCGGTGAGTAAACTTGCTCCCTTTGCTCTCCAGAATTTGTCACCTTGCATCACCTCAGACAAGAGAAAACAAAACATCTCTCCTTCTCCGCAGTGTGACTACTACTCACCTGAATATCTTGCAAAAACATTAAGGTTTACTTGCATTCAGTTCCAATCCAGAAAAACTGATCTTGAAAACGATAAACATTCACTATTCAAATTCCTCAGTGACGGGTGGTGTAGGTGTACCGCTTGATTTTTAAGGACGGATCAGCTGGAAAATAAATGATTTAAGCCCAGGCGGTGTACATGTCTGTGACCTGTGCCGGCAAAATGAGTCACAATGACAATTATTTCAATATTGAGCAATTATTTTCAAAAGTCACCATCTCAAAAGCTTCTAATTAAAACGTAGTTTGTGGAATTTTGATGAATTATTACAAGGACTGGCAACAAGTGTGTTTCATTTCCAGCTCTATAGAAAAAATCTTTTAAGATTCACTATAGCTAGACATTATATGAAGGCTTTTCTGGAAACTATAACAGAGAAAAATCATCAATTTCAAAGGAAATAATAATTAAAACAATATTTAAATGAATTTTTTACACCTAGTAGAAAACTTTCATTTAAATGTAGATTAGGAAGATTATGTTATTTTAGTTTCAGAGAGCTCTAGATAAGGTATTTATAGATTTATTTATATGCAACTTTAAAAGTGGAAAAGTCAACATTTTCTTAGTTTGCACAGCAGCCTGTACTCATATGAACCATTGCATGGGACGCAATTTCTACATTTTAGTAGGAAAAGGTTACTAAAGTATCTCAAGGCCCTCACTCTGAAGAGGGGTTGGTTTCTATCCCAGTTCAGTCCATTTCATGGTCAACACAGATCTGAGACAGACAACCATGCACAAACACTGAGGGTCAATTTATAATATACCAACTGACCTCAACTCTATGTTGTAGGACTCGTAGCATTTATTGGTAGAGTAGCCATCTGTTGGAAAGCAAAGATGAATCATCAAACTTGAGAATCATTTTTATTATGTTTTCCTTGGATAGAGGTCAAATAAACAGGTCTTTTAAACAGGTCTCTCTTGAAAATGAGTCCTCGTGACTCATTAAGACTAACCTGGATAAATAAAGGTTGAATGGGGAAAAACAGCTGTGATACATAAACAACAAAAAAAATCGATTATTGTCAAATAACCGGAAGTAGAAGTAAATATATCTAAAGCTCAAAGAATGGGAACAAGTATGTGCTTAGTATCCTTTAAGTAAATAAAGTAAATAGGACCCTTTTTACAGCTTCTAATGCGCATGTTCCAAGTAAAATGTAAACTGAATCATGATGCGTTTACTTTATCCTCAAACGTTAGACTTACTTGGTTTCAATTCGAAAACACACACACACACAGTAAAGTATTTAACTTGTACCGGTATCTTGTAGTTAGTATCGATCCCTGCTTCAAACAGTTGAACTAAGAAGTCATTCAAATCAGTTTAGTAACTACAAGATTTTACGTTAGCAGGAAAGATTTTGCCTGCTAATTTTAAGTAGCAGGCAAACCGTAAGTAAAAAAAATACGCAGTCCAATTCAAAAATTTAGTTCGGAGCGGTATAAAAGTCAGTGTGGCTGGCGCCACACTGCCACCTGGTGGACATTCTGCAGCGGTACAACATCTGACAGCTTCACGAGTGGGGAAATAGACCAACATCCAGCAGTATTTTGAGTAAATACTGTATTATTGAAAATAAAATTTACTTCATCGATAGATAAACATTTGTTTCCAGACTTCATTTCTTTTAAATCAAAATCAGATTTTTCTTAAATATCTCAAACAACAGAGCATTTCAGACCCGTTATACTTAAAATATGACTATAAAGTGCAAAAGCGATTTTGTTATGCAGTACTTTACTTTCAAAATGTAGCACATTAAAAGAAAAATGTAAGGTGTGCATTCTGATAACCAAGTTCCCACAAATTTAACATTTTTGGAATCCAGTTCAGTCTTTGTAGGAGACTGTTTTAATGGTTATGAGCTACAGTGCCCATTAAAAATGCCATTTTCCAATAACCCAGTAAAGCTGGCAAGGCTCAGATGCCCTAGCTTTTCACCAGCCTGAAATGCAGCATGTCATCTGTGAACTTGGAGCGGTAAAAAAAAAAAAAAGTCTCAGACGTAGACTGGATAAACTGCTCTTTGAAAGGAATCATATCTTGACCCGTTCACTTTATTAAGCTGTTTAGTTTTGACCGAGTGACATGTATGGTAAACGTGATGAGCCAGGGCCACGTGGTGCATTAGGGCCTTACCACGTGTTTTGTCAAGTGGAGCAGCAGTATGGTTTCATGCCGAGAATAAGCACCACAGATATCTTTGCTTTGAGGATGCTGATGGAGAAGTACAGAGAGGGTCAGAAAGAACTCCATTGTCTCTTTGTGGATTTAGAAAAAGCATCTGACAGAGTGCAGAGAGAGGAGGTGTTACGTGAGGAAACCTGGAGTGGCAGAGAAGTATGTTAGACTGGTACAGGACATGTACGAGGACAGCAGGACAGTGGTGAGATGTGCTGTAGGAGTGACATAGCTTCAAGGTGGAGGTGGGAGTGCATCAAGGATTGGCACTGAGCTCCTTCTTGTTTGCTCTGGTGATGGACTAACAGATGAGGTCAGGCAGGAATCCCCGTGGACTATGATGTTTGCAGATGACATTGTGATCTGTGGTGAGAACAGGGAACAGGTGCAAGAACTTGGAGAGGTGGAGGTATGCACTTGAAAAATGACAGTCAGCCAGAGTAAGAGAGTACACGTGTGTGAATGAGAGGGAGGCCAGTGGAACAGTGAGGCTACAAGGAGCAGAGGACACAAAGGTGCAGGACTTCAAGTACTTGGGGTCCACTGTTCAGGAAAATGGGAAGTGTGGTATAGAGGTGAAAGAGTCCAGGCAGGATGGAGTGGATGGAGAAAAGTTTCAAAAGTGAAATTTTTACAAGACAGTGGTGAGACCAGCTATGTTGTATGGTCTGGAAACAGTGGAACTGACAAAAAGACAGGAGAAAGAACTGGAAGTGGCAGAAATGAAGATGTTGGGAGGTTCTCCTTAGGAGTGACATGGATGGATAAGATTAGGAATGAGATCATCAGAGTTACAGCACAGGTTGAAGAACTGGGAAGTAAAGTTGGAGGCCAGACTGAGATGGTTTGGACATGTCCAGAGGGACAGTGGGTATATTGGTAGAAGGATGTTAGAAATGCAGCTGCCAAGAAAAAGACAGAGGAGATATATGGATGCAGTTAGAGGGGACATGGAGGTAGTTGGAGTGAGGACAGAGGCTGCAGAGGACAGAGGATGAAGAGGACAGAGTGATATGGAAGAGGACAGAGGCTGCAGAGGACAGTGAGATGGAAGAGGACAGAGGATGAAGAGGACAGTGAGATGGAAGAGGACTCGCTGTGGAGACTCCTCAAGAGAGAAAACTGAAAGAAGTCAGAAATGTAAAATAATAGAATCAAAATCTTTAATCGTTTGGTTTCCAAATGTTTGGTTTGGGCCATGTGGTCAAGTGTTTGGTGTTGCAGTTTGTATTTAGTTTAGTTTATCCACTACCTGCACAGAGTGTCACATCTATAAGAAGAAACAGGCGAGTGCAGCTTTTTACAGTTTTTATTGTTGCTGCGAGCTCTAATACAATGTGAATTATAAGCTTTTACAAAACACGAAAAAAAAAAAAAAATCCAAACAAAAATACAACAAAAATTTCCCCTCCAAAGTGGAAACTAAAATGTTCCAACTGAGACGACAAAAATAAGTAACCCCCAACAAAGACAGTAGAGAGAAGAGCTGAAAAGAAGGGGAAGCAACCGTCATGTTTTTTATACTCTGCTTTTGTTTGAGGTGGGGGTGGGGAGTTGTGGCAGGGTGATAACAGTCCATCCCCGTGCTCCCGCACAGCTCACATACATGCAGACAGAGTGAAACAAAGTGTAAAAAAACATGGTTGTGCACAGAGAAAAGGCCGTCCTCGTGTTCACATCACCTGGATATCCGACAGTCAAACGTGGACAGTTAGAACTCTATACAAATATAATCAGATAAATCTGACGACACCGTCGAGCCTACAGCAACCGACAGCTCAGTCCGAGTCCTCGACGCCGAGGCAGAGCGGGGGCCACAGTCGCTGAGAACGCATCAGGGATTATAACTACACTGTAAGATTATCATAAACGAGGTAATACCATCATATTATTAACACAAGGGGACAGAGAGAAGAGAATGGCTTCATGGAAACAAAACAAAAACAAAAACAAAAAAAAAAACAGGACAGGAAAATAAAAAGCTAAGCATTTTCTCCTTTTTTCCAACAAATAAACAGGTGCAACACAGAAACGGGTATGGAGGGAGAGACGTAAAGAAACAGAAGATGGCGAGTGAGGCGGAGACAGTGAAAGACAAGAAAAACATGAGCGACTAGTTGTTTTGTTTGCGTTTGAGTGCATTCATTAGGTCGACCTTCATCGCCTGCTTCTGCATGATGTCGGCCTGCGACTGAACACTCCTGTGCACAAAAAGAAAGGAGAGAGTCACAATGTGCAAAAAACCCACCGGAATTTAAACAGGGAGCGTTCAGATCTTTTACAGTGGGATTGTATAGAAAGGTTAAAAAATATTTTATTTGTAACAGGTTCTTTGACGAAACGTCAGTTTGGAGTTTTATTCTGAAAACCATCAGAAACGTTTCTTAGTGGTTCGTGTTAAAAGCCGTTTTTCAAACCTTTGCACCACCTCCAGTTTCACACTGCACTGTTACTTACAATTTATTCTGTGGAAATTTACCAGCGCAGAAGACGGCAGCAGCCATCTGTAGCACTTTCGATGCATCCATGGAGACTTCCAGAAGGAATGACCAATGTGACATTATTAGAAATGTAAAGGTTTATAGAACAGCATTTAAACAAACCATTATGAAATGTTTGAGACTGGAGTTGTTTTAAGACAGCAGGAAACCATTTTGGTCTCGGACTAGTCATTAGCTCATCGATCCAGGCTGTGTTTGAGTTGTCCACTCATTCACTGTAGTTCACCAAATATGCGAGTCAGACATTGTAGAGTGCCGTTTGAAACTTGAACTGCAGTGATGGGCACAGTTCTGCTAATCTGCTAACAGCTAGCAGCGGAACTAATTTTTTGTTTTGTTTAGCGGATTAGCGTTTCCACCATCTTTGGAAACAGAGGAATTAGCTTTCGCTAAATTACGTTTTGCCAACTTTAAGTCCACTTACAAAATTCACAAGCTTGTTCCTGTCGTGGGTGTGTCTAAGAGTCCGTTAGGCACGCTATACGTGTACACGTGACAAGACGTGATTGGTCGACGCAGCTTTAACTGGAAGGAAACGAAGACGTGTGACGCAGACTGAGTGACAGTCGTCTTAGCAGTTAGCGGTTTAGCGTTAGCTTCCACAAATTTATTAATTTTTTTACTTGTTTAATGGCTTAATAGTGTTTTCCCTAGATCAGCTCCGTTGGCGGGGTGCTCGTGACATAATTGTCAATGGGTGTGTGTAGCAGAGCGGTACGTTAGCATTTTTAATAGCACGTTTGTATTGCGCCCCATGCTACATGGGGGGGGGGGGGGGGGTGCAGTGCATGTGTGCGTTTGTGTGTTTCGGTTGACGGGGCCCCCCGCTTGTATGATGGTAGGGAAAACAGTGGGTTTAGAATTGGCAAAGCTTTTTTTTTTTTATTAGAGGAATATGGGTTAGCAAAGCTAACATTTTGGCTAGCTGTGCCCTCCACAGTTGAACTAGAATTTATTTATCCACTATGTAGAGCCCTAAAACCTCCACTGAAAGTAGTGTGCACAAGTTGTACACTACATTGGTAAAAAAAGACCATAATGCATTGCAACCTGAGCTGACAACAGAATAATTGTGCGTAATGCTAACATCCACAACTCAGTGATTTTCAAACTTGTTAAAAATGCTCGTTAAAAACATGGACGTCTCCAACATCAATTACATTGTCTCCTCTTCTGACTGAGCTGAGAAATTATTAGAAAAGTGTGAAGAGAAACTGCAATTAGAAGATTTAAACATGAAACATGTTAAAGATGTGCTGTGTGTGTTGTGTTGTAAAGCAAGCCTCATGTCAACCGTGTGAATTACACACGGCTTGTTTTTGATATTTACGATCAGATTCCAGTTCTCAAAACAGCTGCTACTCAAAAATATTTTACAAGCAACGTTCACAATATTAGTATAGTGCAAGTGTTACAGCTAGTCTGAGGTTGTGTGTAAAGATACAAATAAATAAATGTATATAATAAATATGTAATAAATTTTAGAGACCAATCATATCAATTACATTTTCTTAAGCAAAACCAGCTAATTTATTATGTCCATCGTGTCTAATTCATACATTTATTCAGACTTGTTTTGTCATTTATATATGCGACACCCAACTAAAAACTTTGTGCCTAATTATTAAGTGTGCAGCCTTCAAACAGTGTTTGAAATGCTCCATCCCTCATTTAGAATGCAATCTAGTGACGACAGTAGGCCTGTCACAATAACTAATTATTCTGGGCAATTAATTGTCTCAGAAATTATTGTGATAAACAATAAGATTGTTGAAATTTGACAATAATTAGTAATTATTGTCAAATGTTAGAAGAAATATTGGTTAATTTGTGTGTAGTACTTTTTTTGACCACTGGATGGAAGTACAAGACTGTTTGAACCGAAGGATGGATAATGAGGGAGCGAGCAGCGTGTCTCTAAGAAAAATAAAAATGGGAGGGAGGCCCCTTGACGTGACATGGGCTGTCTCTTGTTCCTGTTTTTCTGTTCTCTAAATGGCGAACGCTTGGTGCGGTTTAAGCTCTTTAGCACAGCATTTTTCACACAAAGCTTTTAATTCAATTTTTTTTTTTAAATCACTAAACAAGTTCTCAGCTTCTTTTTGCAGACAAAAAACTTTTTAGACAAAGGCACGGGTTTCAACTGTGAATTTTGGAGCTTCGACAGGACAGAGGTTTTTTCCAGAAGTCAGCCTGTTAGCTTAGCTTGTAGCTTAGTTTCTCAGTTTAGCTGCTTTAAACGACCCAAAAACGCGATTATGGACAGTTAAAACAGATTTTAAAGAAAAAAGAGAAAGGGAGGGGTCAGTGAAGAGCAGAGTTGAGCTTTTTGTCATCCGGTGTCTTCAGTAGAAAGAGAGAGACACGAAGAAACGATAAAGCTGATAAATTAAAATGAGGTTGATAATTTTCATTTATCATGCGATTAATTTATTTATCGTTTTATTGTTTATCGCGACAGGCCTATGAATGAGTGAACGTTTCAAACACAGCCCGTCTCCAAAATGATTTTGTCCCCCCTAAGAGTCATCTATAACAGGTAAGATATTCACAACCTTTCTACAAAAGCTCACTTTAAAGGATCTGAGGTCTATTTTAGAAGAAAGCCTGAGACATTAATGCAGTAAGGGCGTTAGTTTGGGTTTACACTCTGTTGAGGGAAGAACGTGAAGTCGGTCACAATAATTTACACACCGACTGCACACAGTAATGTGAAACTGATCATGCTGCCGAATCCGTTTTACTGACAATCTATTAAGTGCTTATGCAGAAATACAAGTGCATCAACACTGTTCACTTTCATTTAATAAAAAGTATTAAATATTTGAACTTAAAACTTTTGTTGAATACCTTTGACTTTTCATGAACTCCTGCAAAAATATTTTAAAATGCTTCACAGAGAAGAAAAGCACATCTCATAAAACTTTAAGGTGACAAACACAAACTAAACATAGTGGCTCGTTTAACCGCATCAACGGTTAGTGTGTTACCATCAGATCATCTGTTAGACTAATGGGAAACAAACCTGCACACCATGCCTTTCAGAGCTGCTCAGAGTTCAATACTGCACGACCAGCATGCAAGTTATACACAAACAAGTCAGATTCAAGGATAACGCGACTACATAATTAAAAAATTAGCTTTATTCTCCAACTAGTTTTAATCGTCCTCAAACACAAGCAGAAAGGACCTTTTGTATTTCCACACGATGCCTCTGTAAATAATTTACTTATTAGCAACTCTATTCTAGTGATGACTTAACCATTCCAAAATATCTGAAGTTAAAAAGACTGACATACAAGTGCATCCACACTCAAACACGTGGCTGTACCTCGGACCCTAATCAATGAAGATTTGGCGTTGAGTGAGGACCTGCGACAGCTCCCTCTGGAGCTGCCGGTACTTTTGATTATCAGGCAAAGACTCAATAGATCTGGAGCACAGAGGAGAAGCAGCAGAACATTTATGATGGAAAACACGTACATGAAGGGCAGCAGAAATGTGATCTCAAAGTAAGGCTGGACAATATGGCCAAAACTTTTGTCACAATATATTTCTTCATTTCGGCCGATAACGATATAATTCCGATAAATAAAAGCCTCAGACAAGCTGTACAAATAAATTAATGTTCACTTTTATTTGTAATTAGCCTTCAAAGAAATTTGAAATCACTGTCAAATAAACACAAAACTCTCAACTTTGTCAATATTAATAGTTCTGACTTTAAACTACAACATAACCCTAACCGTTTGCTGCATGCGTTTCTCTTCATACAGCGGGGGCGTTGTTTCAGGGACACGTTGGCTCAAACTTTTATTGTGCTTCATCTTGTGACTCGGCATATTCCATCGAGTGGAACAAGTTAGATGTTCCCACCGCTAGTTGGAACGACTCTCCGTCACATTTTGCAGCACACTGACTGAAACCTGCAGTTTATCTGATCTTACAAAGCCGAACCACTTCCACACCGCCGAATTAGTCTTTCCTCTCTTATCAGTTACGTCATCTGCTTTCTCTTTGCTTGTGAAAGCTTGTTCAGTCACATTCCGACGGTCATGGGCACTCATTTTGAAGCGAAAACTTAACGTGCGTTGGATTAGCCTAGCCTTGCCTGCAACCGCTGACTCCTTCTGGACACGAGCTTTTTCTGTTTGGGCTGAAACTAAAGCGGCCGCTTCAACCAGACAGAAAAAGAAATGCGTCAGTGAACCGCTGTAATTAAATCGTAATGCATATTGAAATATCAAAAATGTGCTTAAAACTCATATCCCGCTATTGAATAAAAGTATATCGTGATGTATATCGATATCGAATTATTGTCCAGCCCTAAATCAAAAGTTTTTAAAAAAATGTTTGAAGAAAAACACTGAGATGAAGGATGAGCGTAGTGAAACAGGGAAAGCACACCTTTAAATAAAGTAGTGAGAAAAAAAGGGGTAAAAAATGTTCAGCTACTCAAAGGTCAACAGGAAGCAGTAAAAACAGCAGGAAGTTACCTTAGACCGTTTACAATGTCCTTAGTTTTCCCAAAGTAGATTTCGTTCAGTGTGGAGCGAATCTTGTTCTCCATATCCTGAAACAAGACACAAGCAACAATACAGGTCTGGTTTTAAATCTCTTTATCTTTACCTGGAATATCTACTGCACATGTGAACGCCACAAGGCTGGGGTACACAGTTTTCTATAACTATTTTTGTTCCAGTTACATTTAAAGTCACGTTTTAATCAGATTACAAAATGTAACTTTGCAGTTTGTGTTGTCTGTAAATAAAAGGTATGAATTTGGTTCCCACACTTTCACCTCTTTCTACAATGGCAAAATGATTCACAATGAATAATTTTTGAATATTAAGTTATCGTTTTTTTCTCCATATTAAAGGCTTAAAAAATTTGATGTAGTTTGATGAAAGTTGGTGATCCATCACCTGGCAACAAGCTGGTTTGTTTGCAAGATCACTAGCTTAAAATCTTTATTGGTCTTTAATGGGGATGCCCACTCCAGGTCCTGCGAGGCCACTATACTGCATGTTTTAGAAGTTTCTCTGCTCCAACACACTGGATTTGAATCGATAGGTGATTAACAGGCTTCAGCAGAACATCGAGGTAATGCAGCCATCGACTCAGGTGTGCTGGAGCATGGAAACAACAAGAAGTACAACGCTTTATATTCACCTAATCAAACCCAACTCGGACGTTCCGTTCACAAAGTGTGAACAGAGGATGTCTGCAACTCCCCATAGTGGAGTTTCTTGCTTCAAAATTTCTGTATTTGACACAGACCTACATGAAGTCACTAATATTTTTAAACTTGTTTATTTCATATCCCATCTGTTAGATAATTAAGCCTGCTAAAAGTTGTGTACTAAATAAGAATAGTGCAACTCAAATGTCTCTGAACTGTGTTAATGAAATGTGTCACAAATGAAGACTTCCTGTAAATTAGATTCTTTTGTTTGCCAAAAATCTAAACGTTAGAATAAACAAAGCTACCTTTGGATGGCAGCAACGTGTCTCATCACATTTCAGTGTTTTTTTCAAACTGATGAGCACGTTTCTGTTTTACAAATGAAATGATGAATTTTAGAACTTCTATCCAAGAGTTTGTGCCGTCTTTATAATGATCTTTCATTGTGTAGCGTTTACATTTTGTTGCCAAGTTAGCAAAGCACTTATCACTATACTGCCATTAGTAACATCTTTAAAACTGAATTGGATTTCTATAAATCGTCGTCAAGACGCCGTTAGGACCCAGTGGTCTATGAGTCACGAACTTCAACAAGGCGTCCGATGTTGGCGATGTGAGGCGAGGATTCTCCAACCGTCTCGTCTTTCTCCATCTGTGACAGAGAAGAGAGGCGGCTCGACTTACAGAAAAACAGCAGCACTGTTTTACAAGTTGGAAGTACTTCTGTCCAGAGCAGCATTCTACCTGTCTTGTGAGGCTGCCGCCCAGGTTCATGGTACCAGAGCCGGTCTTGTTCGTCTGAAGCCACAGCATGACGGTGGAGGTGAGTTTATAGTGAGCAGTGCGACCGCTGGACTTCTCCTGAAAGCACACCCCAAAAAAAATTAAATTTAAAACCATTATTTGATTAACTTAAACTGCTTTTATTCTCCTCAGACTTTTATCTGCCATGATCTGTGTGCAGAAACTAAACCACTCATCAACTCCAGGCAGGATTTAGGCATGTAATCACACAACCTAACCCTTAAACGTAACAAAGCAGCCTGAATTTATGTAAAAAAAAAAAAAAAGCATTCAGTTTTAAGGGTCTGTTGTGTTAAAGCCTTTAAGAGTCAAAGTTTTTGTAAGCATTAAAGCTTTACTATACAACTGAAAAAATATATAAATTTATTTTTTATTTTTTACAAGGTTTCATATTGTGAAACTGTTCACCTTAAATAGCATAAAAAAGGCACATATTGTCGGGATGAGTCCTTAAAGAAGAGTTAGGTCCTACAGACTTCGATCCTAATCAGAACGGACTGAACAAATTAGTTCAAAGATGACTTCAGCTGTGAAATAGCTTAGTTCAAATACAACCCAGAGCCAAATAAAAAAATAGATAAAGGAAATAACTATTGATCAGAGCAACAGTTTACTTTCATTTTAGATTTAGTATAGAAATGAAAGGCCAACTGGACGTTCTAAGTGGAAATAATATTAACCTGTTAAAAACATTATTTTTAAACGAGACAGAGCAGGACTGAAGAATCAGGAGAAAAATGATTTTTTTTAAACAATTATCTTGATTCAAATATGGTTATCTTCAAAATAAAGATTGTGATATGAAGTAATGAGCTTGATTTACATCAAACTGACATGACAGAGGTTTTCACAGCATCTTTGAAATCTTCATGTTGGATGCTGAACAGACCATAATGTATGTTATATATATTATACACAAACACATCTATCT